TTACCAATGTATCTAGGAGCCTATTGAGTCACATGCATAAGTTTAAGTATTCATATTACAAATGAGAAACAAAGACATTGGAAAAATTTTTCAATTATAAAAGTTTTCTATTTTGGAAAGAGTTTTCAAAATGGAAAGTTTTCAAAATTGGAAAGTTTCCTATTTTAGAAATCGGTTTCCTAATTTGGAAGTTAGTTTCAAATTTGGAAACAAATAACCTAAAAGAAAAAGAGTTTCCTAATTTAGCTTAAAGGGTATTTTGAAAACTTTTTTCCTAATATGGACCATGCCAAAATAATCTAAGAATATTTATTTGGTTAGTCCAAATAAATAAATTAGGCTAAAATTATTTTGGCCCATTAGATTGAATTAAAAGCTTAAAGATAATTTTGGTGGGAGGAAAAACATTAACCTTATTAGATAAGGATGAATATTTTAAAGATAAACATTAACCTTATTAGATAAGGTTGAATGTTTTAAAAGATAGTAATCAAGTAGTCCACATACAAAATAACTCCTCATCCTTGGAGGATAAGGAAGCAACAACCTATAGTCTTTTATGGACTCAAAACCGCCCCTCTTTTTGTCCTTAGAGGAAAAGGAACACTCCCCCTGTAAATAGGAGGAGGGGTTGCATAGGATTCATTTCTAGAGAAAATATTTAATCGGAAAAGGTGGAGCTAGCACCCCATTAAATTTTGAGTGCTTGTTAGTGGATACCGAGGTTGTGTGGATCATCAATAGAGGCTGAACACTTAGATGGCTAATCAAAGAAAAGGAATTTAGATCTATGTTATAAGTGGTAATCCTTACTTTAACTTATTATTCATGTATGTATGATTAGTAGATTCAACGAGCATGATCTTGGGCCTTAGATAGAGAAAAATGTCTTGAGGATTAGGTGCTAATATTGTGTTGGGGACCCTTAGTTCATTATTACCACTAGATGGCTTTTCGGGTTTGTTAGAGAGACTTAGAGAAGAATTATTCCTTATAAATTATACAATAGATATCCTTTAGTTGTAACTCTTTGAACAGATCGATCTATATGCGAGAGAATGATCACCATTTACATCAATTGGATGATGGAATAGCTTCATTTCAAGTTTCACTCAAAGAAGCTCATGAAAAGAGTAACTCCCTTACTAAAGAAGTTGCAGAATATAGATTTGAAGTGCAAGCTAGTGTTATTAGGATGGAAGAGCTTGAACAAATTTTAATTTGGCTTTTCTCTCTCCCCTTGACCATTGCAAAACTATGGGTTTGATTAGGGAAATAAGGCAGGTATTATATCCCTAAATTAACCACACTTAATTTTAAAAATGATTATTTTAAAAAATAATAAACGAGTATAGTAACGATTAATGCAATTGAGCATTATATTTATCGATAATTAAGAAGATTGGATCAATTTTTCCCAATCTAAAATATTTTGAGATTCAAATTATATGATTTAATATTATGGGCCTAAAATTACCAAATATAATAGGTTAAGGGTAAAAATTTCCATTAAACTAACCATTTCCCCGACTAGCTTTCTCGCCTAGACCGAAAACATTTATTGTAGTCATCTACGATTCAAGAAAGCGTCTAAACAAGCAAACAAAGAGGGAATCCACATTCGAAGTGCTAACCTTTCCTCTCTATAGTTGACAATATTGATTGTCCCCATCGAGGTGTTAAAGAAAAAAATATTAATCTTTGGCCTAAAAGGCATCCTCAACACTCCTACGGAAACTCTTCGATCATTTTGACTAACAAGATAAGTTTTTGACTCCTTTATGTCACTTTTACCTTTTAGATAAACTCAAAGGTATTTGGATTGAAATTATGAATGGATGCATTTTTATGATGTATATATAATATTTGAAGTATGATTAAGGTATACCATTATATATTGAACAAAAAAAGGTCAAAGACCTTATATACTTTTGATGAAAAATAACATCGGTATTCAATACTCTATGATGGAGTTAGGAGGAATAAACGTAGTTTTTAATTTCAACGGTTTATCCAAGATAGGTGTCAATCTCGGTATGTGCATTTAAGAATTAAGTTTTCCTGGTGATATAATTGATTAAATGTGATGTTCATGGCATACTTATTAAAATAGTTTGAATTCAAAAATATGATGTGAGAATATATGGATATGACAAATCGACCGAGTTAACTCTAGACTTGTAATCAATTAAACTTGATGTGTATGAATATAAAGAATTTGTTAGAGTTAGCTTTGAATGTTGATGCTATATTTGTGTCGAATTGAAGGTGATATGTGATATGTATGATGAATTTGTTAAGGTTAGTTTCAAGAGCTAATTTCAAATTTACATATGAATAAATGTGAGACCAAAATCTTAGTGTTTATGAGATATAGTCATTAGGGACTCACCAAGGTTACTATTTATGGACTATAGTTATTAAGAACTCATTAAGTTTAGTGTTTATGGGTTGCGGTTGTTAGAGAATCACAAGGTGTAATATTTATGGGTTATAGTCATTAGAGACTTTTTGATTTAATGTTTATAGGTTGTAGTCCTTAAGGCTTATCAAGTTTAGTTTTTATGGGTTGTATTCATTTAGGACTTGCCAAGTTCATTGTTTATCGACTACGGTCTTTAGGGACTCATTAGATTTTATGTTGCAGCACCCATAGTCACTAAGCACTTGCCAAGTTTTGTGTCTATAGGTTGTAGTCGTTAGAGACTCACTACGTTTTTGTGATAATGGGCTACAACCATTAGGGCTTGCCAATTCTCGAATACTTTCTTCCTTTTTTCATAGAGTAGGGAAATAGGCTTTTGACTTGTTTGTCTCTCCAACTACTTATGAAATCTAATGTTTATAAGGTGTATTCATTAGGGACTCACCAAGTCTTTGTCATTATGAGATGTAGCCATTAGGGGCTTACCATTACTTTATCATTTTTTTTTATATTGGAGTATGGAAATAGGCCTTTGACTAGCTTATATCTCAAAATACTCACCAGCTTCATTTCTTACTAGATGCAACCATTAAGAACTCGCCATTTCTTAAACACTTTTCTCTTCTTATTTCATACAATGGAAATAAGCCTTTGACCAGCCCATATCCCAAAATTACTTGATTGTCTCAATAAAACAAGTTCACTTAAATAGGCATAGACTTATTAGATGTCAAAAACTAGATTTTTTCTTTCATATATATGTAATGCATCCTACCTTAGGTAGAAAGTGGTGATGGCGATCATGATCTTCCCCACTTATAAGAAATCCCTTACACAAATACCTATATAGACTAGTCACTTTTAGGGATTCCTAGCTTCTCTAATGCTAGATCACAACTCGTTTTTTTCACGATTCCCAATATCTTCCAAATTGTCCTTTGCTAAGCCCACCAACATTAACGTTGTCCCGCCTCATGGCAAGCATCCATTTTTAATCCTTAATTTTTTGTGACTTTTTCTTTTTAAAATCCAAAAATGCTAAAAATTAAATAGTTTCTTAGTAAATTATATTTTTCAACATTTTAGTAATTTTTATTAGATTTCATGAATGTAGGTTATGTTAGTGAGTTTGGAAAAATAACCAATATAAAAATTTTGAGAAAAGAAAATGCAAAAAAAAATAAAAAAGAAAAAAAGAATAAATTGGAAAGAGACATTTGGGTGTGAATTAAAATAATTGAGAAAATATGAATGAAAAAAGATATAATTAAGGGCGAAATTGAAAGAATTGAAAATCCAACTATTTTAATTAAACACAACTTTTTTCAAATTCGTTTTTTAAAAAAAGCATTAGATGAAAGGAGCCAAAAAAATTCAATTAGTGGTGAAATTGGAAATAAATAAAGGGTGCTAAATTAAAAAGAAAAAAGCACACAACATGAGGATTAAAAGAGAATTTTGCCACCCAACCCTAACTCCTAGATATAAAAAATTATTTTTTCCTTATTCTCTTTCTCTACCTCTTCGGCTAGCCAAAAAAATAAAAACCTTTAAAGAAACCGCCCTCCTTTTCCAACTTGCTTGCCGTTATCCCTAACTATCATTTGTGCTTAGTTTTGACACCAATCTTTCCCTCACTAAATCCCGCCACCATAAGCGACCACCATTTTGCCCAACCTAAAAATCTAGCACTACTAGACCCAAATCCAAGCCCATCTCTACCAAGTCATTATTGGTCTTAACTTCCATCAAGTCTAGTGTTGTAGTTGGCCACAAACACAACCATATGTCCTCCCCGCTCTAGAGGCATAAAACCACGAAAAGAAATCCTTCACTTCCTCAAACTAAAGTTTAGTCATGCCTAGTTGTTTCCCTCTCATCACCATTCTTCTCTATGAACCCCTATTACTATTGTCATAGTCCTTCCCTCATTAAAAACCATTTAATCATCTTAAAAATCTAACAACCTCCACTCGCCACCTTTCGTTTGTAGCCACAACATCAAGAAACAAAAAATCCTTAACAACCCCTACTACTAATAAGTAAGCCCCAACTACAAAGGTCAACCATCCATCAAACCATCGCCATCACTACCAACTAATCTTAACAAAACAACCACCAAAACAAGCCATCAAGACCCAATGACAAACTCCTATTAGGAAAAGGCTAGTATAACATCCCTAACTCCGAAGGATGCAAATAATGCTATTAGTAATGCCTCACATTTGTAGTACAATGAATATTAGACACTAAGCCTCATGTCCTCGAATTTATATCCGAAGTACATTACGTAACGAAAAACCTTAGGTTCAAAGTTTACTCGTTTAACATATTTAAAACCATATTATTATCACCATGTGAATCAATTAAAATTTTATAAAACATTAAATACTTTTATAATTTCATATTAAAAACTAGCTCAATTTCATTTACCTTTATTTTAACATATTAAAGCATCATAATTGAAAACCAATTCAAGATTCATGAGCATAAACCCATTTCATTATTTCAAACATAAAATTATTTTATTAACCATAAAACACATTTATACATTCATATATTCATCAATGTAACTAATCATCCAAATGCTTGAATAAAGTTTACAAACCAAAATGACCATTATAAAAGCATAAAGTGATCAAACGTCAATAGTGCTATGTCTTCAAGATTAAACTTATAACTATAGTACACATTTCACCAAACTAGCAACATCCTCATCATTGTTAGTGTAAGTGCCCGAGCTTTAACCATGTTTATATAGGTTTGAATTATCATATTATTGAATCATTTATTTTATTAATAATAAAGAATTTTTTTATTAATTATTATGTCTTATATTTATTTATCTAGTAGAATTAGATAGAAGTCCTTATGATATGTATTTGTGTTAGTGGTTGATCAAAAGATGTGAGATAAACACTAATGCATATAAATGATATCATTAAATGTCTCAAATTATAGCATTATCAAGAAAAGATATTAACTATATATGATTAGACTTGTGAGTATTATTCTCATGCTATATGATAGCAATAGGAGATCTCACATCTATTGGCATGATGATGGCAAAGACAAACTTAGGTGATTTATGTTAGAGAACATATCATTAGACTTGACTCACCATAAGAACCCATTTGATTTAGTTTATGGGAATCTCATACAAGATGGGTATAATTGATCCTTAAACTTAAATTCATCATGGTTATCTCATCAAATGATTTATATACTTTGACACTCGTTTCGATAGACCTAGTAAAGGATTGAAATTATGAATGGATGCAAGACCGATCAATGATAAAATCTTATAACTATAAGCCATGACCTATGAGTTGTTTTGGTCAAAAACGATAGTTTAGGCCCTCAAAATCAGCCTTTATGATTTTTCAAGAAGATGCGAACCAACTAGTTTTGGATTACATCGAACGAGTGTTAGGGCGATAAAAGCCGATGAAAAATTATCGATCTAGTTTTGAGCGATTTGGACTTAGTTCGATGCGAAACGGGCCAAGAATCAAAACTCATTGCTTTAAGCCAAGACCTAGTTCAATGCAGCCCAACTAGATTTAGAATACTTCAAATGTTATGAGAGCAAGAAAAAGCGAAGAAAAACTATCGACCTAGTTCAATGCGAACCAAATGTTTTCTTTCTAAGACTAGTTCGACTTTTGAAAATTATATGGAGATGTAGCTTTGTTGTTTTGCATAAAGACTTAAATATTCTACATGCTAGTGTATTAAGAATCTAAATACCGGTGTTTCACCTTTGAGAGTATAGGTCTTTTCCCTACACTTAATGAGTATGAGGCCTTTCTAGGATACTTAAAATTAGACATTAT